GCCACCAGGGAAGCCCAACAGAAGAATATGGTGTGATATTTGGAAATTTTACCTGACACGGACTTCCCTGTAGCTCAAACAGTAAAGAGGCAATGCAGGAAACCCGAGCTCAATTCCTGGGTCAGGAAGATCCTCGTGAGAAGGGAATGGCAGTCCACTCCAGTATTCTTGCTTGAAGAACCCCATGGACAGAGGAGCCTGTCAAGCTACAGTCCATGGGGTTGCAGAGTCAGATATGACTGAGCAGCTAACACTACCTGACATAAAGGAAGAAAAGATTTTTTTGAAAGATGTGTATGTTTCTCTACCCTGTTGAAATGCCATGTTTCTCTTCCTTCAAGTTTTTGTGATAAGCAGTTAAATTTGGCTATGATTTTTGTTGGAGAGGGGAGGAATTAAAGCACTATGACCATCACTGAAAACTTTGTGTCTAGAATTAGAAGAGAAATAGAGATTCTTAGGAGTCTCTGTAGCACAATGGATAGCACTTTGGATTTCTAGAGGCTATATTTTTTTACATAAGGTGAGTGCAAACATTTTTTATTGAAATATAGGTGATGTGCAATATTATTAGTTTCAGGTTTACAGCATAGTGATCTGATATCTAAATACATTACAAAATGATAACCCTAAAAAGCCTAGTAATCATTTGACACCATACAAAATTATTACAGTATTATTAGTTATATTCCTTATGCCGTATATTAGATCTCTGTGATTTATTTATTTTATTGTTGGAATAATAAATCCAATAAATAATAACAAATAATAACAAATAATAAATCTTAATCCACTTCACCTACTTCACCTAACCCCTCACTCCCACAACCCCACCCCAAGCAGCAACCACCAGTTTGTTCTCTGATCTATAATTCTGTTTCTGTTTTATTATGTTTATTAATTTGTTTTTTAAATTCCACATATAAGTGAAATTTACAGTATATTTCTTTCTCTGTCTGACTTATTTCCCTTAATACCCTCTAGGGAATTCCCTGGAGATACAGTAGTTATAATTCCGTGTTTTCACTGCCAAGGTCCCAGGTTTGATTCCTGGTTGGGGAACTAAGTTCCCACAAGCTGCACTGCAAGGCAAAATGAACAAAACCTAATACCTTCTCGGTCCATTCATGTTGTCTCAAAAGGCAAGATTTCTTTCTTTTTTGTAGCTGAATAATATTCCATTGTTTATGTGTGTGTACATATATATTTTCCAGATATTTTTATCCATTCATATATTGATGGATACTTAAATTTATTTCATATCTTGGTTACTGTAAATAATGCTGAAATGAACATAGGGGTGCATATATCTTTTTTTTTTTTTTTTTATCACAACCATAGTGTATCTTTTTTTTTTTTTTTTTACATGTATAGTTTGTGTTTTTCCTTACTTTATATCCACATGTGGGAATACTGGTAGTTTTATTTTTAATTTTTTAAAGAACCTGCATGTTATTTTCCATATTGCTTGTGACAATTTACATCCACACCAATAGTGCAGCAGGGTTACCTTTTCTCCACATCCTCACCAACACTTGTTATGTGTTGTCTGTTCAATGATAGCCCTTATGACAGGTAGGAAGTTATATTGTTTTGATGCATTTTGCTGATGATTAATGAAGTTAAGCATCTTTTCATGTATCAGAGATTGGCCATCTGTATGTCTTCTTTGGAGAAATGTCTACTCAGGTCCTCTGATCATTATTTGATCAGAAAGTTTGGGATTTTTTTGTTATTGAGTTGTATGAATTATTTATATATTTTGGATACTAAACCTTTATCGAACATTTTATTTTCAAATATCTTATTTAGTAGGTTGCTTTTCTTTCATTGATGATTTCCTTCACTATATAAGCACCTTTTAGTCTGATGTAGTCTCATTTGTTTATTTTTTGTCCTTTTGTTGCAGGATTGTAAGGACACACACAAAAAATGTTGCTAAGACTGATGGCAAAGAACATACTGCCTATGTTTTCTTTTAAGTGTTCTATGGTTTCAGGTTTTACACTTTCATCTTTAATCCATTTTGAATTTATTTTTGTATGTAGTATAATAATTTAGTCCAGTCTGATTCTTTTACATACAGGTATTCAATTTTTCCCAACACCATTTTTTTAATTTATTCTTAATTGGAGTATAGTTGCTTTACCATGTTGTGTTGGTTTCTCCTACACAACAATATGAATCAGCTATAAGTATACCTATATCTCCTCCCTCTTGAGCCTGCCTCTGCCTTGCCCCAATCCCAGCCCTCTAGGTCATCACAGAACACTGAGCTGAGTTCCCTGTGCTATACAACTGCTTCCCACTTGCTATCTATTTTGCACTTAGTATTGTATATATGTCAGTGCTGCCTTCTCAATTCATCCCACTCTCTCCTCCCCAACACCATTTATTGAAGAAGCTCTCTTTTCTCCATTGTATATTCTTGCCTCCTTAGTCATAAATTAATTGATCCTATAGGCATTGGCTTACCTGGGGGCTCTCTCCCATTGATTTTTGTGTCTTTTTGTACCAAGTTACATGCTGGTTTAATTACTATAGCTTTGTAGTAAAGTTTTAAGTAAAGGAGTGTGATACCTCCAACATTTTTTTTTTACTCAAAATTGCTTTGGCTATCCAGTGCCTTTCATGGTTCTATATAAACTTTAGAATTATTTGTTCTAGTCCTGTGAAAACTGTCATTGATGCTTTGATAGAGATTGCATTGAATCTGTAGAACGCTTTGTGTAATATGGATGTTTTAACAATATTAATTATTCTAATCCATGAGCAAGGTATATCTTCTATTTTTTTGTGTATTCTTCAATTTCTTTTGTCAATGACTTATCCTGTTCAGAGTACAGGCTTTTCACCACCCCAGTTAAATTTATTCCTAGGTATTTGGTTCTGTTTGATGCAATTATAAGTGGGATTGTTAATTTTTCTTTCTGATATATGTTTTTTATTGAATAGAAAAACTACAGATTTCGGTATATTAATTTTGTATCCTATAACTTTAGTGAATTCATTTATCAGATATAATAGTGTTTTTTTTTTTTTTGGTGGAGTCTTTAGGGTTTCTGTATATAGTATCATGTCATCTGCAAGAAGTTTGACTTCTTTCTTTCTAATTTGGATTACTTTCATTTCTTTTTCTTGTATAATTGTTGTGATTAGAACTTTCAATACTCTGTTGAATAAAGGCAGTGAGAGTGGGCAAATTTATCTTGTTCCTGATCTTAGAGAAAGTGTTTTCTGCATTTCACAATTGAGTATATTGTTGGTCATAGGGGCATATAAGGCCTTTATTATGTTTAGGTATGTTACTTCTATTCCCACTTTCTGGAGAGGTTTTATTATAAACAGACACTAAATTTTGTCAAAAGCTTTTTCTGCATAAATTGACATGACCATATGATTTTATTCAATTTGTTAATGTGGTGAATCACAGTGATTTGCAGATATTGAAAGATCTTTGCATCCTTTGATAAATACTACTGAATCATGGTATGTGAACCTTCTAACTTACTGTTGAATTTAGTTTGGTAATACTTTGTTGAGTGTTTTTGCATTTATGTTTATCAGTGATTTTTGCCTGCAATTTTATTTTTTAGATTATCTTTGTCTAATTTTTTTTTTAATCAGGGTAATTCTGGCTTGAAAGCAGCATTGAAAGCATTTTCTTCTCTTCAATTTTTGGAATAGTCTGAGGAGGAGAGGCAGTAGCTCTTTTTAAAATGTTTGGTAGAATTTATCTGTGAAGCCATCTGGTGTTAGACTTTTGTTTGTTGGGAAGTTTTAAATTACAGATTTAGTTTCATTCCTGGCAATTGGTTTGTTTGTATTTTTATCTATTTCTTCCTAATTAGTCTTGGGAGTCTGTATTTCTAAGAATAGCCATTTCTTTTAGGCTGTCCATTTTTGGAGTATATAGTTTTTTATAGTAATTTTCTTATAATTCTTTGTATTTCTGGGGTGTCAGTTGTAAATTTTTCTTTCCATTTCTGATTTTATTTATCTAGGCCCTCTCTCTTTTTGATGTGTCTGTTAGTCACTCAGTCGTGTCCAACTCCTTGAGACCCCATGTACTGTAGCTCAACAGGCTCCTCTGTCCATGTGATTCTCTAGGTGAGAGTACTGGAGTGGGTAGCCAGTTCCTTTGCCAGGGGATCTTGCTGACCCAGGAATCGAACCTGGGTCTTCCACATTGTAGGCAGATTCTTTACCATCTGAGCCACCAGGGAAACCCTCTGTTTGATTAGTTCTGGCTAACAGTTTTTCAATTTTGTATATCTTATCAAAAAACCAGCTCTTAACTTTCATTAATCTTTTCTCTTGCTTTTTAGTCTATATTTCATTTATTTCTGCTTTAATCTTTATTATTTATTTCCTTCTACTAACTCTGGGTTTTGTTTGTTTTTCTTTTTCTAGTTCCTTTAACTTAGGTTGGTTTATTTGAGACTTTTCTTGTTTCTTGAGGTAGGCTTGAATCACTATAAACTTCCCTCTTAGAACTACTTTCCTGCAGCCTAATAGATTTCTGTGTCGTTGTGTTTACATTTTTATCCCAAGATACTTTTTTTTATCTTTGATTTATTCAATGACCCATTGGTTGTTTAGTAGCATGCTGTTTAGACTCCACGTTTGTTTTTTTCTTTTAGTTGTTTTTCTTGTAGTTGATTTTATAGTCTCATACTGTTGTGATCTGAAAAGAAATTTGATATTATTTTGAATCCAATCATTTTAAGCAGAAAAATATATCAGACAGCCTGTAGTTTCTTAGGAAGAAAGCACTTTATTCTAAAATAATTTTTCATAAGTTTACTAAACATGATTATGATATGTGTGTTTATTTGTAGGAACTGGTAACATCTAAACATAACAAACCAAACAGGCAAACTCTTGTGCCACCACTGCCACCACATTTTATGCAAAGGAATGCCAATGTACATGAATTCCAAGCAGGCTAAAAAGAAAAAAAAAAAGCTGATTAGACCTTAGACTGCCTACTGAACGGGATGACAGCCACCGCTGCAGTGGAAACACCAAAAATGAAGAAGAGTGCCTCTAAGGAAGAGAAGCAGCAGTCTAAGCAAGAGAATACAGAGCAGGGCAATGCTGATTCTGAAGAGTGGCTTGGCTCTGAGAGTGATCCTGAACAAATGAGCCTTAAAAACAGCAACAATGACAATAGTTGCCAACTGGGAGATGTTCAATTGAATAAAAAGGAGATCCTTTCTAAGCCACACCGCCAGCTATGTAGATCACCCTGCCTAGATCATCCAAGCTTCTCCCAGAGCAGCATTCTACATGATGGGAAGCTTGACTTGGAAAAAGAATACCAAACCAAGATGGATTTTGCTTTAAAGTTGGGTTACGCAGAGGAACAGATTCAATCAGTGCTGAACAAACTGGGTCCAGAATCGCTTATTAATGATGTATTGGCAGAGCTTGTCAGACTTGGGAACAAAGGTGATTTGGAAGGGCAAGTCAACTTGAGTCTGTTAGGGCCTCGGGGGCCCAGCTCCAGAGAGATCACAAGCCCTGAGCTGTCTCTTGAAGATGAAATAGACAACAGTGACAATTTGAGGCCAATTGTCATAGATGGAAGTAATGTGGCAATGAGGTAAGACTGGTATATTTTCTTTATCTTTCTTTAAAACTGCCTTGACCTTATAGAAATTAGGTTCCTTTACAATATGGGAGGCCCTTAGTTGTCTGTGATTTGTGCTCCTCTTGATGGACAGATGTTAAAATGATCCTGACTGGCCTTTTATATTGCCTTTGAAATTGTTGTCTTCTTGTTTTCAGGTGTTCTGAAAGCACCTTAGACATCAGTGATACTTCAAAGGAGATATAACCAATCAGCATTTGTTCCTCTTGAGGTCCCTTCTCCCACCTCTACTTGGCTAAACAAATCATCCTGAAAATAGTACTTTTATAATGTCACTTGGGAGCTTACTTGGGAGCTTTCAGTAATTCAAAATTTTCAACCCTATCTCAAATGTGGATCCTTTTGCTTGACTTTGTGATTTGATCTTTTCTGCCTCCCACTTGATTGTATCTCATGCGTATTGCATTTATATTACTCTCTTTAACAAACTCATGTAAATTGTGATGATTCCTACCCCCACTACATGGGTTTATGTCATTTTCCAGTCTAGGAGTGATCACCTCCTTATCTCTATACCCTTCAAGTTGTATTACAATCGCAGGTGCCATTCTGACTTTTCTCATCCCAATGATTGTCTCTGAGCTGAAGTAACATGGTAAACTGAATAATAGTCCCCTAATATATTTTCTTACATGATAAAAAGGAACTTTGCAAATATGATTAAGCTAATGACCTTGGGATGGGGGAAATTATCCTGTATTTTACAGTGGGCTCAATGCAACCTCAAGGGTCCTTATAAGAGGGAGGGAGGTAACAAGATCAGAATGAATAGTAGGTGATTTGATGACAGAAACAAGAAGTTGGAGAGGTGTGAGAAAGAGACCGTGAGCCAAGGAATGTGAGCAGCCTCCAGAAACTGAAGAAGTTAAGGGATGTATTCTTCTCTGCAGCCTGCAGAAAGAACACAGCCTTGCCAATATCCTTGTTTTTCAGGCAAAAATACCAGAGTTTTCTCAATATTGGAGAGTATTCTCAACCAAGGGATCTTCCTGACCCAGGGAATCAACCTGCATCTCCTGTGTCCCCTGCATTGCAGGCAGATTCTTTATCTCCTGAGCCAGTGAGTGAAAGCCATTCAGTCATGTCCGACTCTTGGTGACACCATGGACTATACAGTCCATAAAATTTTCTAGGCCAGAATACTGGAGTGGGTAGCCTTTCCCTTCTACAGGGGATCTTCTCAACCCAGGGATTGAACTCAGGTCCCCCGCATTACAGGCTGATTCTTTACCAGCTTAACCACAAGGGAAGCCCAAGAATACTGAAGTGGGTAGCCTATCCCTTCTCCAGGGGATCTTCCTGACCCAGGAATCAAACCGGGATCTCCTGCATTGCAGGCAGATTCTTTACCAACTGAGTTATTGCTTCCCTGATACCACATACAAAAATAAAGTAAAAATGAATTAAATACTTAAATGTAAGACCATAAACCATAAAATTTCTAAATAAAAACATAGGCAGAACACTCTTTGACATAAATCATAGCAATATGCTTTTAAACCTGTCTCCTAAAGCAAAGGAAATAAAAGTAAAAGTAAACAAGTAGCACCAAATTAGACTTAAAAGCTATTGATAACAAAGAAAAGAAAACCTAATGAATATAAGAAAGTATTTACTAGTGATATGACTGTTAGGATTAATGTCCAAAATGCATAAACAACTCATAAAATTCAATATTAAAAAAGCCAAACAATTAAATTTAAAAATGAGCATAAAACTTGAATAGATATTTTTTCCAAAGAAGACATACAGATGGCCAACAGGCACATGAAAGGATGCTCAACATTGCTAATAATCAGGGAAATGCAAACCCAAACTACATTGAGACATCACCTCACACATGCCAGAATTGCTATTGTCAAATAGAACACAAAAAATAATAAGTGTGGTGGTGAAGATGTGGAGAAAAGGGAGCCCTACTGTACTGTTGGTGGGAAGATAAACTGGTGTAGCTATCATAAAAAGAGCAATGATATTTTTCAAGAGAGTAAAAATAGAATTATTATATGATCCAACAATTCCACTCCTGTGTATATATCTGAAGGGAACAAAGACACTGATTTGGGGGGAAAAATATATATATGTATATATATATATTTATATTTATTATGTGTATTATATATAATATTATATATATATATATATATTTCCAAATATATATATTTGGAAAAATACATATATATATACACTCACCCCAATGTTCACAGTAGCATTATTTACAACAGCCAAGATATGAAAGCAAACTTAGTGTCCATAAGCTCATGATTGGATAAAGGAGCTGTGGTATATATGCAATGAAATATTACACAGCCCTAAAAAAGAATGAAAATTGACTATTTCCAACAATATGGGTGAATCTAGAGTGTATTATGCTTAATGAAAAAGTCAGACAGAGAAAGGCTAATACTGTATGCTATCACTTATATGTGGAATCTAAAAAGTAAAATGGAATATAACAAAATGGAAATAGACTCAAGAATATAAAGAACACACTAGTGGTTACTACTGGGAAGAAAGATGGAGGAGAGGCCAAATAAGGTTAGGATATTGAGAGGTACCTGGTACTATGTATAAAACAAATAACATACAAGGATATATTTTACATCACAGAAAAAAATAGTCAATATTTTATATATAAAAAAAACTTTATTGTTATTCAGTCACTAAGTCATGCCCAACTCTTTGCAAGCCCATGGACTGCAGCACACCAGGCTTCTCTGTCCTCCACTATCTCCTGGAATTGGCTCTAATTTATGTCCACTGAGTCATTGATGCTATCTATTGAATGGCTATGTTGTACACCTGAAACTAATATAGTATTGTAAATCAACTGTACTTTAATAAAAATAAAAAAATAATACGTGAAGAAAGGATTCTGTAAATGTATTCCCTGCTATTAAAAATTATGTCAAGTGTTCTTAATAACACTAATGGCCACATACTATATTGCAGGAGCATTGGAGTCACATTTTAATACAAACTGTCATTTATTACTTGTGTGGCCTTGGGCAGTTATTCAATCTCTGAACTCAATCTCTGCTCATCTGCAGGCTAAATCAGAATATGCAAAGTACTTGGCACAGAATATATTATAAATATTAGTTTCATTTTATTCATCTGAAAAGGCAGAAAACTTAAGTTCTCACTTTGTACATATTATCTATAACAAGTGTTCCCAAGTCATTTAACCCGGCTGACTCTAGTTTTCTCATCTGTAAAATACAGTATTTATGAAGATTATACAGAACTATATATTAAAATATACCTTAAGATAGCCTGCTAAGCGATTCCTGTTAAATATTCCATGTATGGCTCAAAACACTTGCCCCATCCCCAGAGATGTGGAAACATCCAGTACTGTGCTATGTGCTGTGGGAAAAACTACGGACACATAAAACAAGGTCCTGCCCTCAAAGACAATGAGATAATCAAATGAAAAACTTGCTAGTATAATATGATCTGACTGTTTACGGTGTTAGAAAATGCTTTAATTTCATTTCCTTACATACAGCTGTCCAGTTTTCCCAGCATCACTTATTGAAGAGATGGTCATTTCTCCATTGCATATTCCTGCCTCCTTTATTGTAGATTAATTGACCATAATGAATGGAGATTTTTTTTCTGGGCTCTTTATTCTGTTCCATTAAACTATGTGTCTGTTTTTGAACCAGTATGATACTCTTGATTATTGTAGTTTAGTACCATATTCTGAAGCCAGAGGGCATGACTTCTCAACTTTGTTCTTTATCAAGTTCTTTGGCTATTGGAGGTATTTTATTACATACAAATTTTAAAATTATTTCCTTTTTTCTCTGTGAAAAATTCCTTTGGTATATTGATAGGACCTGCATTGACTCTGTAGATTGCATAGAGTATTACAGTAACTTTAACAATATTAATTCTTAGTGAGACATAGATTTAAGGGACAAGATCTGATAGACAGAGTGCCTGATGAACTATGGAAACAGGTTTGTGATATTGTACAGAAGACAGGAATCAAGACCATCTGCAAGAAAAAGAAATGCAAAAAAGCAAAATGGCTGTATGACAAGGCCTTACAAATATCTGTGAAAAGAAGGGAAGTGAAAAGCAAAGGAGAAAAGGAAAGATGTACCCATTTGAATGCAGAGTTCCAAAGAATAGCAAGGAGAATAAAAAGCCTTCCTCAGAGATCAATGCAAAGAAACAGAGGAAGACAATAGAATGGGAAAGACTAGAGACCTCTTCAAGAAAATCAGAGATATCAAGGGAACATTTCATGCAAAGATGGGCTCAAAAAGGACAGAAATGGTATGAACCTAACAGAAGCAGAAGGTATTAAGAAGAGGTAGCAAAATACACAGAAGAACCATACAAAAAAAAGATCTTCATGACCCAGATAACCATGATGGTGTGATCACTCACACTCACCTAGAGCCAGACATCCTGGAATGTGTAGTCAAGTGGGCCTTAGGAAGCGTCACTATGAACAAAGCTAGTGGAGGTGATGGAATTCCAGTTGAGCTATTTCAAATCCTGAAAGATGATGCTATGAAAGTGCTGCACTCAATGTGCCAGCACATTTGGAAAACTGAGTAGTGGACACAGGACTGGAAAACGTCAGTTTTCATTCCAATCCCAAAGAACTCAATCTCAAAGAATGCTCAAACTACCACACAAGTGCACTCATCTCACACGCTAGTAAAGTAATGCTCAAAATTCTCCAAGCCAGGCTGCAGCAATACGTGAACCATGAACTTCCAGATGTTCAAGTTGGTTTTAGAAGAGGCAAAGGAACCAGAGATCAAATTGCCAACATCCGCTGGGTCATCGAAAAAGCAAGAGAGTTCCAGAAAAACATCTATTTCTGCTTTATTGGCTATGCCAAAGCCTTTGACTGTGTGGATCACAATAAACTGTCTAAAATTCTTCAAGAGATGGGAAAACCAGACCACCTGACCTGCCTCTTGAGA